ATGCTAGCCAGCCATATAAATGCAAGGCAGTAAGCTCATTGGCTGCATATGCAGCATGAGCCAATCAGCTGTGCCAAGTCGTTTAACTCTCTGAATATTATCAGTTACGTTAACAACCCGTCAACCTGCGCCATCTAGAGTTTCATGACTGAACTATATATTTATCTGCATCTCAATGTTGTAGTAAATTATAAAACAGTATGCACTAATAACGTATTGAGTGTAAATTATAATTTTAATTCAAACTAAAAAATGGATGCCACCTTATTGGGACAACAAAGCCCTCCCTAGTCCCTACACTAACCCTACCCTATACTTTATTTCAGTGGTTCTCAAACCTCTCCATGAAGTACCCCCAGTACTGCACGTTTTGCATGTCTCCCTATATTTGACACACCCACTTCAGGTCTTGCAGTCTCCACTGAGCTGATGAGTTGAATCAGGTGTGATAGATGAGGGAGACATACAAAATGTGCAGGGCAGGGGGTACTCCAGGACAGGTCTGAGAACCACTGCTTTATTTTCAACTTTTCTATTATTTCCTTCATTTTTATTGAAAATAAATGCCTTTCCGTTGCGATACGAGATTTGATAAGCGAGAAAAAAAAGTTAGGCAAAAGGCAGATCCGAACTCGGGTTGATCGCGACCTTCATCTTGGGCTTTTTTTTTAAACTTTTTCTTTTCTCTGTGCCGGACTGCTGATGTCTTTTTTCCGGGCATAGTTGTCCATTATGATCATTTGCAGTCAGCCGCAAACAATACTCCAGCCTTGGGAAAACTGCTTTGGTGGACACCTGCTTATTCACCTCTGTTTTACTTTCACTTTACCGCTTTCACATTGTGTGGGATTTCCAGGCGTTTTGTGTAAAAACCCAGCATGAAAGATGTCAAAGTGAAATGTGTATGTGTGCTTGTTTGTTTTGAGGGAATGGTGGGAAACTCTGTTGGTTCGAGAGACATGCTACTGGGCAGTTGTAAATTTCAGCATTTCAAAAGAAAACCAATGAGAGTCAGAAGAGTTTAAACCCCTTAACTGTCACCGTCTCACCTGTGGGACGCTTGGCGCTCTTTTTTGTTGTTGTCCTTTTTCTCTATCAAATGGTTTAGTAATAATCAAATTATATATCTTTTGAAAGCTAAGAAACCCAAGATTCATCCTGTGAAAACCATTTTGAACTCGAGCACTGAGTTACCATGGAAATGGTACTTTAAAATGTTTTGGCATTCTTAGTGGGCGGTGTCAAGTGTCGTATTACAAAATGCATTACGGCCTTTTACAATCAAAACTTTTTATAATCTTGACAAAAAAACATATCATTGAAAAGGTCTGAGTCTCAGGATTCCATATTTGGCTATAGAAGCAATATTGACAGAGAAATTTCAACAAATGTTACAGAAAAATGCATTTAAAAAATTCAATTGAGTTTGGATGGCACCCGGTGGCTGTTTGTGGTATAACGGCCTAAATAAAATCTCACAGAAACCTCAGTTTTTTTCATATCAACTTCAAATTGGGTACACAACTTACGTAGACAGAAGGCTTAAATTTTATAGCAGTTTTAGAGTAAAACCTATTATGTAAAATATTTATTATATATAAAATAAAATAAAATTATTACAGTGTATTTTTTACAATAAATGTAAACTTCTTTAACTTTTTGATACTTCAATTTTTTGAAAAATTCATAATCTGCTGATTTGTCTTCTTTAAAAAGAGACCAACCTTAGGTCTGTATTTCAAAGTGTTTATAAATTACAACAATTTAAAGTTTGGATAGTGCACTTTCATGCCTATTTTAAAAAATGGGGGGTGACAGTTAAGGGGTTTAAACAGTATCAAAACTGAGTGTTACATTCCGGCTCAGGAAGTCACCAAAAAATATGGGAACTGCGTTAAAAAATATCATATTAAACAATATTTATTTAGTCTAGGGGTTCCAAATAAAGATAATGAATTAATAACAACAAATAAACTAATAATGTAAAAAATATATAAATAAATAAAGGTAATGGTAATTTCCAATATGGTCTAGCTGTCCAGCAGAGCACAACTGCAGGATGCTCTAAGAAAGGAACCAGACTCCTCTCCAAACAAGGACCGATCTCTTAAATACGCAGTTCTCCAATTAAGAACAGGTGGATCCTTAGCTGGTAACCTGTAGAAACAAAGAAAACCACTACAAAACAAAACCAAACAACCTGACCCATAACATGAGTGAAACAGACTTTTCAAAAATACATACATACATACATAAGGGTCCATACATTTTTTGACATGTTGGCATCTCTGTGTGTTGTAGAGCGCACACAGCCATTGAAAGCCTAAAAACAACAAAAAAATGTCAATCAAGGTGAATCAGACATCGGACAAGTGAGAAGTTACTAAGAAAGTCTGTCCAGAACACAATATTGACACAATCTTAAATGGTATCTCGCTGTGTGTGAGCATGTACTGTAGCTGTCGCTTCAGACACAGCTCGACTTGACCAGGCCATGCAGCAGACACACACATTCATGTACAGTACTGATTCTCTTTACCTGCTGTTGCATTTCAAGGTGTTTGAGGCCGTTTGCAGCCATACAAACAGAGCTTGTTTTCAGATGAGCAAAACACAGGGGGCGTGAAAACATTGGCAAGTAAAACACTGCAACATGACATTGAAAACAGCAATAAAATCAGAAATGGACTTTCGCTGTCAGCACTTCCACTTATGTGACATACACATCTAGGACATGTGACCCTGGTTCAGGCGCCTCAATCCATGCAGGGCTTTTCAGAACATGTTTCAGAGTGAAAACTGCACACAGTTTGAGATTAATACAATATTTCTGCTCAGAACTCACTTTGAGTGTTTGTATTTGTTCTATTGTGGATTTTGTATATAATATAATAACAAATATGTGGGGTGTTTTAACTACACCGGTTTATTATTTCTCATGTAAACATACTTTATTCTTATAAATAATACCCCAAAACGCATAAAGCACATAAACCATACACTAAGATCAAACACAGTAAAATTGTGAAACATAGGGAATTATGATAAAACAATATTGACTGATGGATCTGCAGAGAATTGTGTTTCAGTGAGTCATCAATCCTGGAAGAGAGAGAGGTAGACAGCGGTTGAAGTTCATTCTCATCAAATTGCATAATTAATGGAAAGTGAATACAAATTATGATTATATCAATATAACATAAAATAAACTTTTGAATACATCAATGTTTCTATTATTAAACTTGGATTGCCCTTACGAAAATTAACCATGGTTTTACTACAAATAAAACCAAAAAACCATGGTTACTATAGTTAAACCATGGTAACCGCAAATTAACCAAGGTTTTGCTACACTAACCATAGTTTAACCATGGTATTTGTAGTAAAACTGATTATACAAATGATAAACAATATGCCAAAAAAACATGGTTACTACACTTATTCTACAATAAAACCATGGTTAATTTTCGTAACGGTGGACTTGGATCCCAGGCCTTCCCACTACTGACTGGTACTATCTCTTGAGGCAGTAAAAAAAAATACTGAGGGTTGAAGTCGTGGCCCCCACCTGATCGAAAACAACCATTGCCGAATTTGCACAAAAAATGCCTTCTGCCTTCTACAGAATGGTTTAAATTTCTTGCTAAATATGGTTTAAATACCTGCTCCCCTGTGGATGGTTGCTTGGTAGATACCCCCTTAGGGTTGATGCAGGGTGAACGGAGTTATTTAGGCCAATGTGGATTCCCTGTACTTCGTTTACCTCCCTCCCCAACTACTGTTGGGTTTTGAAGAAGGGATGTATGGTCCCTTGGTGGCTTCATAGGCCTCTATAGTATGACCCATGTTCAAGAACCTGGCAAATAGAGACAAGTCGGCCTGCAGGGCGTCCCTCCTCATCTATCGCATACTATAGTTAGCGTTGGAGGTCTAGAGAAGTGCCTTTATTTAAGTCAGAGTTGAATTGTTCCCCCCCAGTGTACTAGGGTTTTTAAGCAGGGCATACTGTAAGTTTCTTTGTAGCCTCCTTGGGGTTAAAATATGGTGGATGAGAGTTATTGGCAAAGGGCAGCCTGCCTTTCTCCTGTCTGCCTCCCTGTCTAGGAGGTTTGGGCTCTGGTTTTACAGGGACTGAGTAGGATTTTGTTTTAGATTTAGAATTAAACCACTTCGCTTGGTGTTACAAGGAGCAGGGTGAGTGAAATTATGATGGGCAACTCACGAGAGTCCCTTTTGTTTAGTTTACCTTCCTCTCCAACTATGCCCTAAGGGCTTCGTCAAGGTGCTGACATAGCTGAGCATTTTCCTTTAGAGCTCTGCTCTTGGGGCCTTATAAGGCTTACATGTGCCCTGCAACAAAGGAAGGAAGGTTGTAAAGGCCAGGACTTTTCTATTTTAATTCTACTTTATCTATATTTACTTTCTTTAAAAACAAAAAACAAAAAACAAAGACTAGCTTTCTATTTTTTCTGTCCTATCTACTTGTTTTTCTTTGTTTGTGTGTGTGTGTATAATATATGTATATATATAGATATATATACACACCTTGCTACATGTACTGCGTTAGGCTAACCAAGACTTGTCATTTGCACTTATATATTCTTGCTCTTTTGTTAGTTTTGACTGCTTTTATTTTCCTCATTTGTAAGTCGCTTTGGATAAAACCATCTGCTAAATGACTAAATGTAAATGTAAATGACTTCCCTGGCTATAGAGTGTAGAAGCGTGGGTATTTTCCCTTTACTACTGGAACGATACTGGCTTAGGGACTGTTTCTTCTAAGCAGTCTATGAAGCATATTGCTCCCTGGAGGTTGACGCGTCTTGACTCTAGCTGGTTGATCTGTAGAGTCAGGGTATTCTATGCCCACTATGGTCTGCATAGCTAGTCTAGTGAGGCAAGTGAGTGGTGAGTGGGCATTCGTTCCCCATATTGTCAACACAGTTCCACTTTGAATAGGAACCTCTAGGGTTATGACTGCAAACACGGAACCCTAAAAAAGGGAAATGAGAAGCGGCAACTCATTGCCATGCATTGGGTCTGCTGCATGTCTCCTTCAAACAAATTTTGATGACGTGTTGTGCAGGCATATTTTTAAACTTAAAAGGGGGCTCCATTTGTGACGTCATGTGCAAAAAGTATTAATGCTGTAGTGAAGTATGATGCCGCTGTCTTGGAAGCTGATAGTGTTTATAACAAGGGAGAGATGATGTTTGTTTTCACTCCTTAAACGGTTTTGAATTCCTGTTTACAACATTATTTACACTGATCAGCCACAACATTAAAAGGACTGACAGGTAAAGTGAATAGCATTGATCTTATCACTAGAATGGAATCTGTCAAGCGGTGGGATGTAGGCAGCAGGTCAACAGGCAGCCCTTGGAAGCAGGAAAAAAATAGTTTGACAAGAGCCAAATAGTGATGGCTAGATGACTGGGTAGAGCGATAAAACGTCTTGTGTGCTGTTCTTGGTATGCCGTGGTTAGGACCTACCAAAAGTGGTGCAAGGAAAGGCAAAGTGCAAAGTGTTCTCCTAACAAATGTAAAAAGTATCTTGAAGAAAGTGGAGTCATTTTATTATTTTGTGTAATCTAAACAAGAATACTCTAAACATGTTAATAACAAAAATGAATAAATCTTAAGTCGCCTGAACAAACAATTTCACAATGAACAAAGCATGCATTGCATCTTGAAAAAAATGTTGATTATCACCTTGTTTAGGATTTTTGTGTTGAGGTACGTGCATCTGATTGCAACTTTTGGATTTAATGTTACATGTTCCTTTTGTCTTCTTAGGGCTTTTTAATTATTTCCTGTCCCATGTGCCATTTTGTAGTCAGGTTGTCATGTGCTCATGTTTCTGTTCTTATGCTCCATGTGTTTCTGTTTTTTTGTTTATTTTGATACTTTCATTAAAACTCCTGCAGTTCGATCTTTGCCTCTGCCTGCCTTCTCTCGCTCCCCATTACGATATATTTGCCTGTCAAGGTACCCTACTACCCTTAAGAGTCAAATAATATGAAACCAATATTTTATTAAGCTTTGAAAATGAAACATAAAATTAAAGAATGACTTTAACTGTTTCGTCCATAGAAACAGTCACTAATGAGGCATCTATGTATACAGATCCATGCGTTCACCCTCAGTTTCAGTTGTTGTTTGTCAATTTCATATTTTAACATTTGTTAAATAGTTGTGTGTTGGTATTACCTTCATCTTCCTGTGTTCTACTTGTTCTCTGAAATGTCCTCATGTTGTTTTGTTTAAAGAAATCAGCCTGCGATTAGATCCATGTCTCACCTACTCCATCAGCAGCGTAACACCTGTTATTAATCATCCCAAAGCTCTTGATCTTTATGTGCTGTCAGCTTCTTTCCCTCTTTAAGATTGAAGCTAAAATCTTCACTAAACCTGTAGTCTCTATTACTGTTTCCTTTGTCTCCCTTCTTCTGTTATGCATTTCAGAAAATCTTGCTTCTAGAGTGGCACTTTATGAATAAAATCCATTAATTACTATCATTAATGTGCTGTTTCTCCTGTTGTAGTGCGCTCACGGAGCTGCAGCTATGCTGGAGTGTTTCATGTGGAGGGGAGAGAACGCTATAGTCTGAAGTTTGAGAAGGCCGAGACATTGTGTGAGCATTTATCCTCTTCATTAGCCAGTCTGGAGCAGGTGGAAAAAGCCTACAATAAAGGACTACAGACATGCAGGTTCTTACATTCAGCTGAACATAACCAAATGACAATTAAACATACAGGATCATTATTAACATGAGCTCCACCGAAATATAAACATACGTTTTGTCTGCAGGTATGGATGGATAAACAGCACAGAGGTGGTGATAGTCCGTCAGACGCCAAATAGAATCTGTGCTGGCAACCAAACCGGCATCATCAGGAAAACTCCAGACAGAAAAAAATATGACGCCTTCTGTTTTGATGCTAAAGGTTTGATTTGTGCAACATGCTGTAAGTTTTAGTCAACACATGATCGATCATCTTTTTTTTAACAAAACATTGCATTTCGAATAGATACGGCAGAGAAGAATTGCACAGCTAAAATTGACCCTGAGAGTTTAAACAAAACAGATGGCGACTCGGCATTTACAGGTACAAGTTACTAAGGAATAACATTTTAAATGGTATGCATTTTGTATGCCACAGGATTCACTTTTATATTTTACATGTAACATTATTTTTACACTGGTCTACAGCCAAGATGCTTCTGAAATAAATGTTACCAAAATGGACTGATTCTGAGTCCCCCCCCCACACACACACACACTGCGACACAGGAAAAGGAAAGCTATGCCTTCAGTGGAAAAAAATCTAGATGAAATTTGCAGTGTCTTCTGCATAGTCTTCGGCACAGCAAATTTAATGTAGATTTTTGCCCCCCACAGAGCAGTCAGCGACAAGCACAGCGAATGATTTCCCGTTTAAACAATGGAGAAACAACACTGGTCTACAGCCAAGATGCTTCTGAAATAAATGTTACCAAAATGGACTGATTCTGAGTCCCCCCCCACACACACACACACTGCGACACAGGAAAAGGAAATCTATGCCTTCAGTGGAAAAAAATCTAGATGAAATTTGCAGTGTCTTCTGCATAGTCTTCGGCACAGCAAATTTAATGTAGATTTTTGCCCCCCACAGAGCAGTCAGCGACAAGCACAGCGAATGATTTCCCGTTTAAACAATGGAGAAACGCTGTCAGGGCAAATGGAGCCCATCAGTGCTTGCAGACTGTTGCTGATCTGTGACAAGAGATGCTCCATTTAATGAATACAAGAAGTGCAGAGTAGACACATAATAGTTTTGGCCTTTTGTTTCATTATAAATTTTATGGTAACACTTTAGTATAGGGACCAGTTCTCACTATTAACTAGTTGCTTATTAGCATGCATATTAGCATCTTGGCTGTTTATTAGTACTTATATACTTATATAATTCTTATACATTTATACCTGCTTATCTCTAATCCTACCCAAAACCTAAACTTAACAACTACCTTACTAAATATTTATAAGCAGCAAGAGTTTGAGGCAAACGTTGCAGTTGTTTGTTAATAGCAAGAATTGGACCTTAAAATAAAGTGTGACCAGTTTTATTTGTATAATCCTTTTGCTGATTTTTAAAGTGTTACTTAAATGGGAGAGGTGACAGGTAAAATGTAAAAACTGAAATATCTTGAAAACAGCAGCCAATCATTTTTAATTGTCGTATTTGAATTCAGCACATCAAAATGCACAATAAATATCATATTTTATCTCTGAAGCAGACGAGTTCTGCTGACCAGTGTTATTATCTGGATCAGTTTTACTTGTTCTAAAGACAAGTTTCAGGAAAAACACTGTCACACTTTCCATCCCTGCACAGACGGATTTATTTCTGTAAAAACATGACCAAATAAATGCTAAGCTGTGAATGTTTATTTTTGATAATAACTCTGGTTGTCTAATAAATTCATGTAAATATCTATAAGACGACAGGTTGAAAAGCTGTTTCAGAGATGGACCCTTTTTTCATACAATCAATGTTTGATGAGCAGATATACACTTAGTTGTGCATAATTTAAATTTGACAGAAGTCACAACACACCGACCAAATGCTGGAGGGGAAGATTCTGAAAATTCAACATCTGAAGTCACATCTGTGTCCGAGTCTTCTACTCCAGTTCTCTGGATGCAGACCAGTCCCACACAGAGCCCTGCGGAACAGAACCACACTGATCAGACAAACCGTGATACGCATATAGAGTTGACAACTTCACATCCAAATCCAGACACCACAGGGCTGGGAGTGTTTGAATCAGTGACCACTAAAGAAACGGCAGCAAATAAAGCAGGTGAAGTTTTTATAGGAATTTTAGCCATATCTGAATTTGATCATCAGTTCATTCTTTACTAAATGTAATACACTGGGATCTATCTGGATTGTTTGTAATTATTACTGAAAATGACTTCTGACCTCTTATTTGAACTGTTGTGTCTCTGTGCTTCTGTCTAATTGTTACTCCAGAACACGCCATCCCAAACAACGGATCTATAGGTATGGCCAGTGTAATACAAATCATGTATTAAAAGTAATGCCCTAATCAATTGTATCCAATTTCAGACTACTATTTGCTTTAACAAGCCTTGATTGACAACATTCTGACAAATGTTCACCAGGGTGTGAATTATAAGGCAGTCTTAGGTCAGGTCTCTATAACAACTCCAGTCCTGGGGGGCCGGTGTCCTGGAAACTTTACTACCAATCCCAGTTGAACCCATCTGTCTGTAATTTGCAAGCAAAAGGCATATTTGGTTAAGTCAGGGGTGTCCAGTCCTGCTCCTGGAGGGCCACTGTCCTGCAGTGTTTAGCTCCAACCCCAATTAAACACACCTGAACCAAAGTAATCAAGCTCTTACTAGGCATACTAGAAACTTCCAGGCAGGTGTGCTGAGGCAAGTTGGAGCTAAACTCCGCAGGACACCAGCCCTCGAGGACCGAGTGTGGACACCCCTGGGTTAGGTGTTAAACTCAGCAGGACACCGGCCCTACCGGACCGAGTGTGGACACCCCTGGGTTAGGTGTTAAACTCAGCAGGACACCGGCCCTACAGGACCGAGTGTGGACACCCCTGGGTTAGGTGTTAAACTCCGCAGGACACCAGCCCTCGAGGACCGAGTGTGGACACCCCTGGTTTAGGTGCTAAACTCCGCAGGACACTGGCCCTCCAGGATCGAGTGTGGACACCCCTGAGTTAGGAGTTAAACTCCGCAGGACACCAGCCCTCGAGGACCGAGTGTGGACACCCCTGAGTTAGGAGTTATACTCCGCAGGACACCGGCCCTCCAGGATCGAGGGTGGACACCCCTGAGTTAGGAGTTATACTCCGCAGGACACCGGCCCTCCAGGATCGAGGGTGGACACCCCTGAGTTAGGAGTTATACTCCGCAGGACACCGGCCCTCCAGGATCGAGGGTGGACACCCCTGAGTTAGGAGTTATACTCCGCAGGACACCGGCCCTCCAGGATCGAGGGTGGACACCCCTGAGTTAGGAGTTATACTCCGCAGGACACCGGCCCTCCAGGATCGAGGGTGGACACCCCTGAGTTAGGGGTTAAACTCAGCAGGACACCAGCCCTCCAGGACCGAGTGTGGACACCCCTGGGCTAGGTGTTAAACTCAGCAGGACACCGGCCCTTTGGGACTGGAGTTAAAAAGCCCTGTTTTAGGGGGTCTGATCACCATCATCAATGGATGGGTAAAATAAAGGGTTGTGGCATTTTCAAAGTACATGTACAGTCATAAGACTACTCATAGGTACAGCTTTTTCTGAATTAGACTTGTAATATCATTTCGACCACCCCTGAAACACAATCTGCTTGCAAAACCAAAGGCATTGACAGAAAACAGAACAATGGGTCTCATTCACTTATAATTGCGTACGTTCTTCGTATTTATACGCACATTTGACCTTCTCACGAAAACTTTCCGGCTAATTCACAACACGTGCGTACGCACATGAGCTTGTTCTTAAACTCGTTCTTCTGTTAGTGAATTTGAAGTCTTCTAAATGAGCGCCCGCGTGCACGAGGTTAGTAATTAGCATAATACACGCCCAAACCAGCTTCATATAAGGGCTTTTCCGCAAAGTGGCACTCGTCCAGAAAAATAAAATTATGGCACTGAAACAAAAGACAAAGAAAAAGAACTTTAACGATAATGAACGTGAGGTTTTGCTGTTGGAGGTGGAAGCCAGAAAAAAATTTGCTATTTAAAAGTGTATCCACTGGCGTAAAGGGCACAGGTAAAAAAGAAGCATGGTATACAGTAACACAAGCCGTTAATGTGGTTTCACCAGAAATTCGGATGGTTGCCGAAGTTAAAAAAAAGTGGTTTGACATGAAGTTCGAGGCCAAAAGAAGAAATTTCAGTTCAACAGAGGAAAAAAGACACGGGTGGAGGGCAGGGGGCACCTGGTCTGTCTGCCTTCGATGAAAGAATGGCTGCAATTATAGGACAGTCAAGCTTGAGTGGCATTATAGAAAGGAGTGAGGGTGAGAGTGACCTAATACATGAGCAATTACAACACGGTAATTTGCTTAAATCAAAATCTTTATTTTAAGGAATGTATTCAAGTAATCATCATAACTCAAAACTTCCGGCTTTTGCAGAACATCCACAGACAGCAGATGGAAATTAAGAAGCTGAAGTCTAGCCGTCCCAATCCACTCGTTATACCCCTTCAAAGAGGCACACCGGCGCATGAGTCCTGACCGACGAGGTGCTCACTAGTCAAGATGCCCTCATCCTTGCCGTTAAGAACGTGGCAGCTGGCCTACGGGAAATAAATGAGTCACTGAATAAATTGATAGCATTGCTTGGCAGTCACAGAAGTGCATAAATGTGAATAAATATATTGTGGCAAAATTCAGTTTTCTGTGTTTTAATATTCCCTAAAACTTTTTGCAATCGTTAAAAGCACTTTTACAAATTCCATTTGCTCAGTTATAGAATGTGCACTGCAGCAAACTACAAAAGCTATTTAAAAAAATAGAATGAGATTATATACCATTATAAACGTATCAACTGAAGGCGTGCTTGAAGCGCTGCTTGGGCTGGCGCATGCATCTCGTCACCCACAGGTTCCGGCTGTGCGTGTGGTCCATAAGGAGCAGGTACACTCCGTGCCATTGCGATGTTGTGCAGCACACAACATGCTAAAACAAACTGACAGATTTTGTCTGGCCTGTATAACAGCATTCCACCAGCTGCATCCAAGCACATCCAACGGGATTTGTGTACCCCGATTTTTTCTGTTCACATAGTTTATTGCATTTGCGGATGGTGCTTTCATACGCACATGGGTACAGTCTATTGCACCGATGGTATTAGGTATGCCACTGATCTCATAGAACCCCCTCTTAACTACCATCTGGTGTGCCACGTCATAAGGAAATTTTACATAAGTTGTCATAAGACCTACAATAGCTTTTACCACCTTGTGAATAGCACGGCTTATAGAGTATTGGGAAATTCCGGCTCGGTCCCCAATTTCCCTTTGAAATGTTCCCGTAGCAAGTAATCCGATAGTACACAGAACTTGGAGATAAGGTGGTATAGGGTGAGAGCGGTTGGTGATATGGCTTAGGTGTGGTTCCAGTGAGTTGCATAAATCAATAAGGAATTCTCTGGGTAACCTAATGCGACTGAACAGCCATTCGTCACGCTCAGCATACATATCTGTGTGCTCTCTAAAGACGCGCTCTCTCCTTTGAGCACGCACCGCAATGTCTTCAAGCAGTACCAAGTGTGCCATGCCTCCAAACACAAGGCGAGACACAATAATCACTGTTTATATAAGGATAGATCAGGTGATTGATAGTAGGACCTCTAATTAGATATATATATATTTATATAATTGGACTTCTAATTATACTTTATTATCAATTTTAATGTCTAGTCACTTTTCACCCACCCTGTAAATAACATATCTAATTATATGTAGGGTTCTTTACACATGCTTATAAGACCCCGGGCATACATGATTATTGCGTACGTGTGGTATAAGTTGTTCTTTTTTTGTACATTTAGAATAAATTTTAGAACGAAAGTTTTTGATGAATCCTGATTTATTCGTGAAAACGTCCGTACGCACGTTTCACGCAAAAATTTGTGCCTACACATGTTTAGTGAATGAGACCCAATGTTCCTAGTCAAGAATAGTCTCATAATTGGGGAAGTTAAGTAGAATTGAATCCCATAAATACATTTGCAGCACAAATGCAAAACAGAGATGACCCTGAGTGCTGTTGAATTGAATATATGAAATGAATCTCTTTAAATAGCCTGTTTTTTTAAGAAGCAGCTTATTTTAAGGTTAAACCACAAGTTTATCAGACACTTGTACCTAACAGCTTTTGGTTGTCTAAAAATGGTAAATATCTATTTGATGATTATTTGCTGACAGCAGACAAACCAGGAGTTTTCCTCACATTCTGGGAAAACATGAATAGGGAAAAGCATAAGTAGGCCTGGTCCTAAGGACACACACCCAAACCTCCTGCCAAAGTGATTCTGTTGTAATTTACACTCTGACTTGAACAACTGCATTGATTTTTCTTTATTACTTGGTTTGAAATAACGTGTAATTTGTTTTAATCCTCTTACAGACTGGCTGATCATTTTACTCGTCATTTTGGCCGTTTTTGTCATTCTGCTTGTCTGTGTTATTGCAGCAAACAGAAAAAGGTACGTTGTTTTAATGCAAATATTACAGCCCACAGCAGAAGTACAAAATACCACCAGTCTGTCACAATACCCACACTTGATCATTTTGTACTTGCCTACTTGTGTTATGTATCGCTAATAATTCTGACCACTGTGTGCAAGTGGGAATCTTGAATGTGTATAAAGGAATGTTTGATTGACACAGCTATCATAAAATCTAAGTTGCTAAAACAGTTGCTATAGAGTCATGCCAACTGGTTTTAGAAACCATAATACCATCGCTGTCATGCAGGTGAAAATATGCTACTTTGCTCAGAAAGGAAGGCTTGTGGGTTCCTAAATGTAGCGCATCAAAGTTGAATAAGGGTTAGTGTGTGTTAGTGTTGATGGTCTTGCTTATACTTCCTCTCTGTCACATGCGTGCACCCTGAAGTGGGCAAGAGCGCAAGTGTGGGTACTGAACAGGCTAAGTGTGCTTAAAAAGAGTAAATAGACAGTAGTGTCAACAGCTAGATTTGAAAAAAAAGAAAACACAGGAATAAAGAATATATTTGGTTTACACTTTCTAACTTTAAAACTATTGGTTTTATAAAATAGCTGCCAGTGATTTATTAAAGTTAACAGTGTTATTGTGTTTTAGTGAATGTGCACATTTGTTTTTCTATAGATGGTGTGGCAAGAAACAGACTCTGATTATTACACAAGAGAGCAGCAGTGAAGAAAAGGGTGCAGCAGCTTCATTGACTAAGGAGCAGGAGATGGTCAAACTAGTGAACACTGAGAAGATCGCAGGGAACAGCAACTCAGAGTTTATCAGCATCAGTCCAGAGAAGTGAACAGAGAAAACCCAGAAGGCATAAGAATGAGAACACAAGCAGTTTTATGCTAACAACTGACAATACAGATGCACTAATATGCCGTAATCAATGCTGAACTAATCCACAGATAATGTTTAGATAATGATTGATTTATGAAGAACTAAGCCATTCATTAATAATTACATCAGCATCTGATAAAGTGACTGATTAATAGATTAAGATATATAGGAATTGCTATTAAATAAATGTGTCATCAAGGATTAATTCACTATCAACATCTAGCATTAACTAATAGTGTAAATCAATGTGTCATTTACCACAGTGGGTCAAAGCCATGTATTCCAATTTCCACCTGTCCGATTTAAAAAAATAATTAGATAATAGTTTGCATATCATTATGTTATGACTTGGTGAGACACTTAACTATTAACTCTGTTAACTAATTATTAAGTAATATGCTCCTATGGTTATGATTTTAATCAATTTACCCATCCCTCAATCACATTATTTGACATTACATTCACTTCACAACTGCAGGGCTCAAGTTTTACTTATTTATTTTTTTTCCTGTGTAATCTTGAATTGTATTTTATTTAATTACATAAAAGGAAAAAAGAAAAAAAAAAATCACAATGCTTGATTAAAAAAAAAAAATTCTACTAGCCTAACTAATATAAAGTTCAAACATGAAAGACAAGTGAACAGTCAGTAATTAAGAAAATAAACAAGAACAAATAAACAAAAGAAAGGTTTGAGAAAGGACTTCTTACCTGTTCTCTCACGTGTTTTCTGAGCATCTGCTGCATCTTCAGTCTGTTTCCCTTCATGAGCAACACTTTTACCAGATACTTACCAAAATCTAGACTCCTCTCAACCCTTTATGTTCGTATGCTCATTAAGTAAAAGTCATAATAATAATATCTTCACAAATTTAAATCAGACAGCTGGAAGTTAAAATACATGACATTTTGGTAATTCATTTACTCTGTTATTAGTAGATGTTGATCCATGATGACACATTTAATTAACAGCAATTCATATATGACTTAATCTATTAATCAGATCAACTATTAGTTGACGATGTAGCAATAGTTAATGAATGGCTTAGTTTCTTATGAGTCATACATTAAATGTGCATTAGTTCAGCAAGTGCACACATATTTTAAAGTGTTGCCAGTTTTACATCATAAAACATGACCAGAGAAAGAGATCTAAGTTCAAAAACAGAAGAATTCAGATGGACATAGATTTGAAACTAATCAAAAGGAGGTTATGGTTGGAGATGTATATTTTGAGTTTTTAATTGCAACCGTGTGTGTGTGTGTGTGTGTGTGTGTGTGTGTGTGTGTGTGTGTGCGCGCATGCGTTTTTGTGACAAATGAGGACATACATTTGTATAATGACAAAGGTATGTCATAGGTATTACAAGGATAAGGTGACTTTTCAGGACATTACCCCATGTCCCCACTTTTCAAAACGCTTATAAATCACACAGAATGGAGTGTATTGAAAATCTGAAATAGCACAAAGTTTCCTGTGAGGGGTAGGTTTAGGGCAATAGAATATACGGTCTGTACAGTATAAAAACCATTACGCCTATGGGATGTCCCCACTTTTCACAAAAACAAACCTGTGTGTGTGGCATCAAGAGAGCAAACACACATCTATGTTGTACTTTGTTGTTTCATCCCTCTCCATCTATGTTTGCTTATTTCTTAATATTAATTTTATATTAAAATATTAAATAACTAGTTCATTTTAATGTTATACTAGAGTTTATGTAAACCAGCTTTCCAGTGCATTTGCTTGGTATAACACTGGTTGAATCAGCGCTGGTCAGATAAGTCGAATGATCATTGAGAAAGAAGCAACTAAGATTATTCATTAAAGTCGTTACTATCACTTGGTGTCCTGCTTTCTGCCCTTCCTTTCCCTTTTTTCAATTCTGCAAGAGTAAAGTTAACATGACAATGTGCTCACTGCTCTGAATGCCAGATACTGGCAAATATTTTCTGACAGAGAGAGAGAGAAGTCTTGTAAAGACCTCCAGGTGTGATGATTGTCTGAAGCCTGTATAGAATCACAGCAATTCAGTGGTTGATTCAGTAATCCCATTCCAGCTCTCAGAAACTGTTCATTTAGAATTCAGACTATATAATAGTATTGAAACAGCAGTTCCCTTTCGAATGGGAACTCGAGCTGCGTCTCCTAGAGGACACTATGGGGAATGCCTCCAGCACGACTGGTGTCTGAAGAAATGCCATTTTTACATGTAACAAAAGCTTTGGTAATGAGTTTATGAATATTAATGAGATCTGGGTTTCCCATAATCCTCTTTTTAGCATCAGTATAGTCCAAAGATGAAGGAAGAACATCCATGCACAGAAACGGCTGCTTCTTTATTTATTCGTTTAGTCAGTGAAACACAAAAAAAAATATTATGGCCGGAATAATTTTTTTTGTTAATTGTTTATGAAAAACAGTTTCATTCTGTTTCTTTTTGTTGGCCACCAGGTCCTTCGGATACTTAAATGAAAAAATTAACAAGGCATTCATTTATCATTTATTTTATTGTCATGAACATAAAAAATAAAGAATTTTCATATGTTTGTTTTTGGTTTCATTACACTTCGTTCTAATGCAGGGGTTTAAGACAGTCTAAGACAGTGGGCCTCCCTTTTGACACAACTTACCCAATGCCCCCCCAAATACACACACACACACACACGCACAAAGATAAACACACAGAACAAAGTCAGACTGTTGACTCACCTTTATCATTATTTGTGTTAACATGAAAAGTGCAGTTATTTTCAGAGTAAGTCAAGTCAAGTCAAATCACCTTTATTTATATAGCGCTTTTAACAATACAGATTGTGTCAAAGTAACTTTACAGTATTAAATAGGAAAATAGTGTGTCAATAATGCACAATGATAATAGTAAATAGGGCTGTGAATCTTTGGGTAGACAGCGAATCGATTCGATTCACGATTCATAGGTTTTCGATTTGATTCAAGAACAATTTTTGTAAATTCAGAACGATTCAATTCGATTCGATTAACGATTCGATTCTGCATTCTTTAAGTGCATTCACAGGATTATTTAAATGCTTGCCCTAAATTCTTTAAATGCTTAGTCATGCTTAGGGCAGATTACACAGCAGCCTTTATGGTTAGAGAACCATAGGTTACAGGGAAAAAAACACACACTTTTGTCCATTGTTAGATGCTAGTTTAATGATGCTATGGCATAACATGGCATATGTAGAAATTTATGTAAGCTGGACAATAATCAATCATTTGTAATCTATAATTTTTTCCTAATGACAATTTTATGATTATTTTATATACTACAAACAAACAATTTTCTTCACAGAATAAGGTAGAAAATATACTTTATAGTTTCTGTACTGTAATAAATGATATGTCAATTAGCACTGCATCATTCATCAATTTTATTTATATATTGTGTTTATTGTCTTATCATTTCATCAGTTCATTCTGCTTTATATACAGCTTAGCTGCATATATAGCCTGACACATCTTAAGTTCTATGAGCGCGAGATCACTTCTCTTTATATACTTCTTTATTAACATTTTCATACAATAAAATGCTATAGTATTTAACTTTTCCTATCCATCGGCGAATGATGATTCTGAAAGAAAATGTGCCCGATGTCTGTTTGCTATAGCAACAAACGCTACTTTCATGCATCTGATTATCAGATCAACCTCGCACTCTTATTTCAAGGTTGTTGTTAATGCTGTGGTTATTTTAACAGTTTCCTTCGTACATTCGGTTCAACGACATTGTTAAAACACATTTATCATCCAATGGAACTGTGCAGATGATTTAGATGCTTACATTTTTGCTCCATCCATGCAATAAATGTGCAGCCTTCGACTGCTCAGGTAATGTCGTCGGCATGACTGAGAGCCATTGAAAAACTACAGAAAAGTAAAACTACTTCACTTTAGCATTACTGGCCACGAGTACTAAGGAGAGATCACACATCAGCTGCTCAAAAAATGTGTCAGTGAGATGAATGGAGTGCGAGTGCAATCTTGTGACAGTCACAGGCGGTAAATAGTGGACCATGTGAAGGAGAGATGCGAGGCACGAACACTGTTCAAGGTCTCCATTAATTTATGCTTGTAGTAATTTAATGTGTATATATTTTGTAAGCATTGAATCACTTTAGAAATCGTGATTCATTCAATTCTTAGCGTTTTAAATCAATTACTGTCCGAAATCGACGATTCACGATTCGAAAATCCATGTTTCAAGATCGATGCATATGCATCGTCAGGGTTTGTATTCGATGCATAGAAAAAACGAGTGAATCGTTACACCCCTAATAGTAAACACTAAATTTTCAGTTAAAGGCAGTTCATCATTGAATTCAGTGATGTCATCATCCAGCTCAGTTCAGTTTAAATAGTATCTGTGCAATCAAGTCGACAATATCGCTGGATATTAGGTGTCCCCAACTTAGCAAGCCAAAGGCGACAGTGGCAAGGAACCAAAACTCCATCGGTGACAGAACAGAGAAAAACCTTGGGAGAAACCAGGCTCAGTCGGGGGGCCAGTTCTCCTCTGGCCAGACGAAACCAGCAGTTCAATTCCAGGCTGCAGCAAAGTCAGATTGTGCAGAGGACTCAATTGGTTCCTGTGGTCTTGTCCCGGTTACCGTCTAGGAGACAAGGTCTTCACTGGGGATCTGTCTTCTAGTTGTCCTGGTCTCTGCTGAAATTCAGGGTTGTCGAGGTCATCTCTAGGTGCTGATCCACCATCTGGGCTGGATACGAACTGGATCCAGATGATCCAGTACATATAACAAGAGTGATAACAAGTAGGTTAACTTGATATAACGTTTTTAAAACTAAGAATAATGAAACAAAAACAATGATGGTTAGAAATGAAAAGAACATATTTTTTTTGCAATTTAAAATTGTAAGAACTGTCCATCCCAGTCAAAACAGTCAGAGGATCTGTAACAGAGAGTGGGGAAAGAACTTTAAACAATGCCAAAATTTAAATATCTATACTATTGATTAATATGCTTACATAATTATATCCCTACCTTAGTGAGGATAATATCACTGAGGATAATGCATTCCCTACCTTAGGGAATGCATTTGTTCCCTCGCTGCGCAGAGAAGACTAATTCGGGGTTGTAGTGATGTCAGAAACAGTTGAAGGTCATCCTCCAATTGAAGACATGAACGATATTTGTTCTTGATGAATGTCATAGCAGAAAATTCTGATTTGCACAAATACGTTGAAACAAATGTTAAACGATTCCTCAGTGCTCTTTGTGTGAGTTCAGCAAATTCATTTTGAACAGAGAGCCAGAAATGTCCAATGGAACAGTGTGTAATAATTTGCTCCAGTTCATGATTGCTAGTCAGATCAATTAAAGCCTCTTCAGATACTGCATACCCTCGGAAAAGGGCTACAGCTATCACCCATTTTTACCATTCTCAAGCCCTACAGCAGAAACAGCTATGCCATCTGTAGACAGGCTACACAAATAAAGTTAGATCGTTACCCTCCTAAAAGTGTAAACTGTACAGACATAAAGAAAG